AAGCCGCGCCTGCCGCTGGCTTCGCCTTCCGGGATGCCGGAGGCTTCTGGCTCGACGTCGCACCCATGCCTGCCGCTGGATCTGCGGTGGCATCCTGGCCACCGCCCAGCGTCCAGCGCCTCAGGGAATGCCTGCCGGCCCAGTGTCAGACGCTCGCTTCTCAGCCTCCCGCGCGCGCGGCGCGGCCAACAGGTCCAAGTCCGAAGCGAAATCGAGACCTTCGCCCCGCGCAGGTTCACCGAGCCATCCGCCTCCAATCCCTCGCGCGACACTCGGCGTGCAAACGCGCACTTCGCCCTGGCATCGTACCAGACCAACGCCCGCAGGTCCGCGCCATAGCCGCCTCGCAAGGCGCTGCTCCAGGGACTCCGAAAAAAACCGTAGTCGACCGATAACGTGCTGCGCGCACAGCGGCTCTTGTCCCGTTTGCACCGGGGCTGCCTTCGCCCGCCCTCGCGCGCCAGCCGCGCGCGGAGACCTGCCAGGGAGATGCGAGACCTCGTGGTCCTCGATCAACTTCTGCGTAGGCTTCGGAGGCGAAGTCGTTGCCCTCGAAGCCGCGCTCTCCTCCGCCAGGAGCTGCGAGCTCGACGCAACAGCCGAGCCGCCTGGAGGTGCACCTTCCAACCCCGCGTGCGCTATCGCGCCCTCACCGATGACGAGGTAAATGGCTGGGGTCGGTCATGCGTCTAAGCCGTCGGCGCGAGGCCCTGGATATGGCGCTGCTCCGGCTTCGGGACCCAAGCCAGGAGTGCGTGGACGCAGTCCTTCTCGAAGATCTACACTGCCTGGCCCATCTGGTGGTTGAAGATGCCGCCGCCGCCGTTCTCCTCCGAATCGAACCGGGCGCAGCCACCGTGTTTTACCATCTTCGACGCATGGCTCAAGGGGGGATGAATGTCTCCAACTTCCCAGCTGGCTTTAAGATCGCCCCCAGACATGAAAGCGCCAGCGTTCCTCGCCGCCCATCTGCGTTGCGTGCTCGGGCGCCGTCTTGTGTCTTGTGCGACCGCGGCTCGCCGCCAATTTTCAGCGGGCGGCCCCTGGCCGCGCGCCGCGGCGGCGTTCGCGTCGAACCGCCCAAGCCCGCGGCGACGTCGATCCTCTCGCGCCCCTCGCACTGCCACCTCCGCCGGGGCTCCTTTTACGGAGACCATCCGGCGCGCTCAACGCCTCGTGGACCTTGCCCCGGGAGCCGCGGCTCGATTGCGACGCCGCGTCGCCTCCGGGCCGCCCGCCAAGCGGCGCCCCAGAAAATGCGACCGCGAGGCTCTCCAGGGCGCCGAAACGGCCCGGAGCCCGGAGGGCGCCCGCGCGTCGTCGCAGCCCCGCGCGTCCTGCATCGCGCCAATATTGCCAATGCTGATCGCGCTCTTGCTGGGCCATAATTACCTCTGCGCGCCTCCTGCGGCGCCCCGCGCCCTTCGCCTGCTCGCGCGCGCGCGGCCGGCCAGCGGGCGCTGCGGGGTCGGATCCGCGCGGGCGGGATCAGATCCACCGCGGCGCAACTCCAAACCCAAATCAGTTCCGCGCCAGCCTTCTTGCAACCGCCAGAAAAAGTCTCGCGTGCGCTGGCGCTGTTATAGAATGTATCATCGCTGGGCGCAAGGGGGGAACGAGTTCGCATTGGTGATCGTTTTCCTAATCGACGTTTGCCGATCGGCGCGGGCCCTCGCCCCCCCCATGGAGTAGATCTCGGCTGTTTTGGGCGCCTCCTTCGAACGGGTGGAATCTCCGCCGCCCAGCGCACTGTTGCACGCACTCCCGCTAAACAGATGTCCGGAGTCAGGCGCCCCCCCCGCCTTCCGCCCGACGTCAAAACGCCGAATGAGAAAGCGCTCGCACGCGGATGTGGGAGCTGCTGCTTCGGGAGCGCAGGTCGCTTTCGCTTGCGAGGGGTGGCGGATGCACGAGCGCGGATCTGTCGCAGTCATCTGCCGATCGCGGCGTTGGAAACACCGATCAGCTGCCAATCGCTAAAGCTGGCGGCCTCGCGGGGGCGGGGCGATCGCTTTTGACAGCGGGCCCTGGCCCAGAGAGCCCGGACCAATTGCGTGTCTGCGTGTCCCGCGACGGCGGCCCTCCGAATAATTATCCCCCCTGCTCGCCCTCAGCTCTTCCTGACTTTTGCTGCTGGCCGCCCTGCTCCCCTGACTCCTCCTGCTCGCCCTCGACTCTTCCCCTCAGCCTCTGCTCGTCTTCTGCGCGCGCAGCGCCTCTTCTCATCTGCCCCCCGCCGCGGTCGCCCTCCTCCTCGGCGGGGCCAGCGCCTTTATCCCGACGGCGATGCTGGCCCGAGCTTTACTCCTGGGCACAGGGCGGCGCGAGGGCGGCGCAGGCGACGCGCCCCTGCCCGACGCCCCTGGACGCGGCGACGACTTCGACGCTCCACCTGCACGCTGCTTGAGGGGGAGCCCCCAGCGGGGTCGACGCCCCACCTCGAACAGCAAACCCATCTCACCTTCAGCGGGTGGCGCGCCTTTCTGCGGTAGGTCTCGGTGAGCTCGCGGGCTCCGTCTCCGCGGCCTTCGCCTCGACCTCATTTGGGCGCGCCATTGGGTCCGCGGCCCTTGGGGCCGCCCTTGGTCGCGGGCCCCCCGGGCGGAAGTTGCTGGCCATTGACGCCGGTCCTGCTATAGCAGTCGGGGCGCTGGCGGCCCCGGCATCTGCCGCGGTTGCCCTGGAACTCCTGCTGTCCGCGCCCGGCCCACATGCCGCCCGCGCCGCCGCCCTTGGCTTTGCCTTTGCCGACGTCCTTGCCTTTGCCTCTGCCACTGCCCTTATCTTTTGGTTCAACGCCTTCTCGCCGCCCTTAGTTAGGTATGTCCTTGGGCCCAAAGCTGCCCAGGTCCACTGCCTGGGGCTCCGTCCTCGCGACAGTCTGCTCCTCGTTGCGCTCGAAAATCTGCAACCGGGCCGCGTTGAGGCCCAAGTGGTTGCTTAGCACGTCCAGGCACATCGACTGAAGAGTCGCCCGCTTCATGGAGTCGCTAAGCTCGTCGCCGGTGCGCCCCCAGTAAAGCATGTAGTCCTGCCCCCACTGCTCGATGGCGCTGGACAGCGAGTCTGTGGACGCATGCGCGAAGTGCGGAATCGTCAGCAAGTCCGAAGTTTGGTTTTTGGTTTCCTCGGGTCGGAACTTGTACTCGGCTTCCACCTACCGTCCAGTCTCGACGTCTTGCGGGTGTTTTTGATGATGTCGAAGGCCGTCGTGTCGTTCGTCTTCGAGGACATCCATATTGCGTGCAAGCCCATGTTGCGATCTGTAACCTTGTGGCACTCGTCCACGATGTCGTTGATCCTCTCGTCCGTGATGGTGGCCGCGCCATCGCCGACCAGCCAGGTCCAGCACCTCCTCGGCACGCTCGTGCTGAGGAGACAAGCCAAGTGACGAGTTTGTACGCCCAGCCAACCCTGCCGCTCTCCTTCCCACTGAAGGTCGCTGGCTTCAGCACTTCCGCGCCCTCCGCCTTCAGGAACTCGGCGCTCTGCTGCTCTGCTGCGTGCAGTGCCACACTCTGCTGCTGCAGCTGCCTGGCCAGTCCGACCATGCCTCGTCAGAGCGCTTCTGAACCGCCGCCATGGCAGCCTGCTGCTGCCTCCGCGTATCGCTCGTCTGACTGAAAGCGGCGAACACCTGTTGCTCGTTCATGCCGCCTCGCCGGATGAAGGCACAATGCTCGATTCCGAAGCCTCGCCCCCAAACTCACGCGGAGCGTACTGGATCTCTCATTCCAAATGCTGCAGCATGAAACAAAGCGATTGAGACAAAGTGTTGCCGCACCGACTTCGTGACATTGACCTATGGGCTCAATAGGGAAGGAGATCTCTTCATGCGCGCGTGCATCTGAAAACGTATGCATGGGCAGCTCTGTTCGCGCATCCCGCCGCACGAAGCGCGCAACAACTTCGCGCTCTCGCGCCGCCCCCCGGGGGGAGAGGAGGAGGACGAAGAAGATACTGATGAAGAATCGCGAGCCGCAAATCGCGAATAACTTCGCGTTTGCGGCTGCTCTTGTTTAGTTCTGTGGGTCTCGGGACCCGATGCGGCCCCAGGAGGGTGTTCCACATGGAACGATCGCGCCAGCGTCGCCACCGTGTCCGGGCTGTGCGACCCTGTGCTCCCAGAACGGCGAAGGAAGGGGCTTCGTGTGTGTGTGTGTGCTAATGGGGGCCAACCAAAGTGAAAGTGGGGTTAAACGCAGGAGCACGCACCACCGCCACCGAGAACCCATCGGTGAAGGACCGGCTCCCAGGCGGTGGCACGGCACGCCTGACCGTAATCTTGAACCTTTTAGGCCTGTATTGACCATTTGGGCGCTATTTTGGGCTCCTTTCGGGCCACTTTCCTGCAATCGTCGGCCCCCCACTTTTATTGCCCCCCATTGCCGCTCGCCCACGAGGTCCTGGGAAACGGGTCCGGGTCCGCAGGGCCTTCCCCAGGGTCGGCGCGAGCCCAGGGGGCAGGGGGGGAAGTGAGAGGGGGCAAGCCTTCTCTGAAGGGGGCGGGTCTTCTCGATGTCCTCTGGTCTCCTAAGAAACCTTCACACCTTCGTGGGAGCCACGGCTTCTCAGAAGGCCGGAGGGCTTCTGAGAAGCCCCGCCGCCTTCTGAGAAGGCCTGCCCCCCCCTCACTTCCCCCCTGGGCTCGCCGCCAAACGGGTGATCCTGGCTCCAAGGTGCTCCCAATTTGTCGCACCATTCTGGAGCCGCTGTGGGCCTCCGGGCCTCGCGGGGCCAGAGGCACCTTTGGGAGCACCCGACCAGATGGGGCCGAAGCACACGGGGCTCGAGGATCGCACCGAATCGCCGATGCATTAGCGACGTCCACATGGACAAACTCGGCCCTCCCCAGCAGGCGGATACCGATGATAGCAGAGGCGAGGCGGCCGTCTGGCCTCCAGTGCGGACGAGCGTAGGCTCAGTCAGCTAGCACCATCCTGACCGTAACGCTGTTACGCTTGCCACTGGCTTGCCAAACCTTGCGCAATCCCTCCCTCCGGTGGCGGCGTTATGGCCCGCGCTACTGCGGGGTGATGTACACTAGTCGGCGGTCCCTGCCCGTTGCTGACGACAATGCGGAGCTGAAACGCACAGCGAATCAAAGACGCGCACAATGTGCAAAGTAGCCGCAAGAGAAAAGCTTTGAGCTGCACTACGCGGCCACACTTCACTGTATGCGTACCAAGCTACGCCCCTTCTCCCGCCAACTCGCCTGGGCATCATGTATGGGTGGGTTGGAGAGGATGCGCGAAGCGTCGTCAGTTCAGGAGCGAACCTGTTGTAGAAGAGGTAATTCTTCAACAGAGCTTGCGCGTACCATGGGCCCCCATCCGATACACTCACGCGCCAAATATCACCTGTATGACTCGCTCCGTAGATTCGAACTCAATCCCAGGGGCGGACTTCTGGGAGCAAGTGACAAGTGCATCCCGAAGTGGCCTAAAGTTGGCTTCGAATGTGCACGGCCAGCCCCAAGAGGGGAACTCTGGCAGCACGACGGGGCCGAAGTGGCTTACAGCTGTTTCTGAACATGAGGAACGAAGCCTGGGAGTGGAGTTCTGGGAACTCGGGGGGCACGAGTGCAGCTAGCTCTGGACGCTGCAATTCAACGCTGGGAGTGGAATTCTGGCGGCTCGATGATCACACAAAAATGTTCGTTTCCAGGTTTCCCGATGGCCACCACACATTCGTAACATGAAGTGAGGGCTCACTCCTGACGCGGATGGGGCTCCCGTCGGAAACTTCCTCGCAACTGACTCGCTGCCCCCTCATATATTCGAGCTCCGGATGATTAACCCAAAAAGGACCCCTAACCCTTTGGGAGGGGACCTATGTTAGGAGGGCCAACAACAAACCAGGACACTTACGGGATTTTGTTCTGCAGATGTATCGAACCAAACCGCCTAGATGTTTTATCCCAGATGCGAAGACGGAGACCGCAGTGAGGCTACGTCTTCAGAGGGATAGGGATTCGTTTGTTCTCGATAACCAGAGGCTACCCGTCCCCCTCTGCCCCGCTCAACCCTGCAAGCTGCCCCCCTCCTTGAACCGCCCCAGTTGGACCCCCCCCCCGTCCTGAACCTCCCAGCGGCGGGGGCGGCAGCAGGCCACGACGAGGAAGGCGCTGGCCAAGGGCTCGGGCCTGGGCTGTGGCACCAAGCCAGGGACCGGCGCACGCCACTGGCCAGCAAGGGCGCGGGCGTGGTTTGGCGTTCGCCAAGAACCCGTGCGCATTGGCGAAGAGGCGTGGCGACCAGAAGCGCCAGCGGACGTGGCGACAGCTTGCGACGAGCAAGGCGTCGGCCAGCAATGGCACGGGCCTGGCTTGACTTGCGTCAGGGACCCACCGGCGCAAGGCACTGGCCAGCAAGGGAACGGGCTCGTTGGGGTACTTCAGGGACCCGCCAGTGAAAGGCACTGGCCAGCAAGGGCACGGGCCAGAGTTTGGCTTACGCCAGGATCCCTGCACATTGGAACGCAGAATTCGGCAGAGCGTGGCGACGAGGAAGGAGGCGCTGGCCAGCAATGGCACGGGCCTGGGGTTTGGCTTGCGCCAGGGACCCACTGGTGCAAGGCACTGGCCAGCAAGGGCGTGGGCCAGGGTTTGGCTTACGCCAGGGACCCCTGCACATTAACGACGAGCAATGCGAGCGTGGGCGAGGATACGAGGAGCGCCGGCGGACGCGGCGACCAGGAGCGCCAGCTTGCGAGGAAGGAGGCGCTGGCCAGCAAAGCGCTGGCAGCCAGGCCACGAACCCACTGGTGCACGGAACTGGCCAACACGGGCCAGGGTCTGGCTAGGCCAGGGACCCATGCACCTTGGCGACGAGGAGCACCGGCGGCAAGGGCAACAGAGAGCAACAGACGAGCCAGTGAAGACGAGGAGCGCCGGCAGACCTGCGACGAGGAAGGCGCTGGCCAGAAAAGGCACTGGCCATGGGTTTGGCAGCAATGCCAGGGACCCACACTGCGCACCCAGGAGTCTTCGGCAGAGCCTATTTGGTTGCCTCGCCCTCGGCATAAGCGGGGATCACCAGCAGAGCCTGATTGGTTGCCTCATCCGCGCTTTGCCGCGAAACGCCCGGACGAATGCAGCCGCGCACAGCCCACTGCCAACTGCGGCCAGTAAGACTTCGCGGAACACGAAAAGCGCGAACTGCCTCAAGCCCGCACACGTGGCGACGAGAGCGCCGGCAGCACGCAGAGTTGCGACGAGAGCACCGGCCACCGACCCGCCTGAACAGCGCGTGTTGCACGCGTGCTGCTCGCTGATACTAGACAGCACTGAAGGCGCGGGTGAACCCGCAGTGCCTGGCGCTCTCCTGGCGTCGACTGCCACGACAACCATAACCAGGAGAAGCTGAAGCCAAGACAAGACAAGACCGACAGACAAGACAGACAGGACGGACACACGACAGACACGAGGACGAAAACGACACCGCAACCCACAACGGAGGCACCATTGCGAAAGACAGCAGGGACACAAGCTCCAGGAGCACAGAAGAGAAACAACACACCGCACAAGACATAATGTGCGTTTGATACGGCGTGCACCGCGCAAAGCCCGTGGTGACAGTGGTAGCTTTGGCCATCCTCGTCCATTTCCCCGCCCATAAAACAACAAGTGACTTAAAGGCCGACAGAGAAAGATACAGAGGCAGAAGACACCGCGCGCCACTCGATCGCGTGGCGCAGCAACAATTGGTTCCAACACTCTGCGTGCTCACGAGGATTGTGTAGCTGCGGGTCGACGCGGGGTTGCTGGGCTGTCGCGCGCCTCGCCACCGGATCTCAGCATACTCCGCTTCCAGCCCTTCAACTGGACGGCGTCGGCGTGCTGCACCGCGGGCGCCGCCTGGACTGGCTGGCTCGCGAGGGCAGGCCAGGCTACGAGGGCGTCGTCGTAGGGCGCGACCCTGGAGCTGACCTGATAGCCTGGGGTCGCGGCGAGCACCACTGCGAGGGGTGCTTCATACACAAGTCGCTGCTCGCTGTGTCCAGCTGGCAACTCGAAGCTGCGATGCTGCCCCATGCAGCTCCTCCACCACGAGATGCTGGGCCATGGGGCCACCCTCCACCGCGCCACCGCCAGGCGCGCCCACTGCGCGGCAGCGGAGCCAGTTGAGCGCGAGGACGCCCTCATTGCACCAATGACGCCACGCCGCCCCTCTGGCCGCGCGCTGCCAGGGCCGCCGACCAGAGACTGCCTGGAGCCTCGCCAGCAGGGGAAGAGGAGCATCTCAGTGGCGCTGGTCGGCGGCCCGCGATGGGGCTGAGACCAGGCAGGCGCCGCTCCGGGGCCCGGCGGGCCTGGGGCTCGGCGAGCTGGGCGGCCCCGGGGCTGGCCCCTCCTAGCTCGCGCCCGCAGGGGGGCGTGATGGCGCCCGCAGGGCGCGCTCCTCACGCGCCCTGCGTCGCTCCTTGGGCACAGCCGCTTCGCTCTTCATCTGCTCAGCGATGAACTGCATCAAGGCAGGGCAGATGCAGAGGTTGCCCGTCGTCTCGCCCATTCCCAGGAAAAAAAAAGAAGAAGCTCACCTCCGCGGGCGGCGCGTCGTGAGCTGGCGCCTCCTTCTTGGCTTGGCCCTGGCAGGCCACTGCATTCCACCGAGACTTTTCGTCGTGGGCCCTCGCCTGCGCGAGCTGCAGCTGCCGCTCTGGGCATTCGTAGCTCGCGAGCTCAGTGATGACAAGCTGATCGTGTACATGGAGAACGTCTCGATGATGCGGCAGAGGATTTCGCGCTGCTTCGCCGTCTCGTCGTGCTCAGGGATCGTCATCGCCGCCAGCCATCGAGCGCGCCATGCCACGGCACCTCAAACCATCCTGATCATGCAGGACAGCGCCCAGAGCAGCGTTCGAGGGCCCAAGACGGGCCAGTCGTCTCGCGGCAGCTCCGTCTCTCCCTTGACGGCGTCAGCGAAGCAGCGGCCTCGGCGGCCACGAGCGCCTCGGACGATGCCCATTACGCGACGATCGCGGGCACCTCGGTCACTTCCTGGCGGCGCGACGCGCTCCTCGCCGGCGGGGGCCGCCCCAACGCCGCGCCCGAGAGCGGCCGCCAGCGCGTCTCCGAGCGGATCTGGAGCGCGCGCTGGAGGGGCCGCCGCAGTGGGCACGGCGGCAGGCGCCACTACCAGGGGCGCAACGCCCAGGGGCAGCGGCGCAGCCTGCGGGTCCAGGAGCCTCAGCGCGCTACGATTAAGTCGGGCGTGTCCCCCTACACGGGGATTTTGGGCGAAGAATGAAAAATACTCAAAAAAAAACACATGCTCAAAAATACTCCAAAAATCGTCCCCTGTAAAGGGGGGGGCCCGACTCAACGCTAGGAGCCATGCCCGGCACGCTGCCTCCTCCCAGCTGCAGCCCGAAATCGCCCGCAGGCGGCGCGCCCGCTCCAGCGGCGGCGGCCGAGCGGAGCGCGTCCCCAGCCTCCGCCGCGTCAGGGAGGCGCCGGAAGCGGCGCACGCTGGCAGCCGCCACTCCTGATGGGCGTGTTTTCCGAGGACGAGGAGGACGAGGAGGAGGAGGAGGAGGAGGAGGAGGAAAACCCCCTTCCCTCCAACTTATGGCGGTGGCGGTGGGATACAGGCCCATCAACTCCGTCGACTGGCGCACCCTGGCCCGCGAGGCGAACCACGGCTCTCACGTCCCGGGGCCTGGTCCTCGGGGTCCACGTCGAGGTCGGGCGTCGCGAGAAGCTGGCCGAGGACGGCCAGCCGCTCGCGCCAGATCCCTCGACCAGGTACCTTTGGACGTCACGGCGCAGAATGACGCAGACTGAACGGCCATGGCTTCAGCGCCCGCTCAGGGCCCTATGCCTGGCTGCCCGCGCCTGATCCGCCGCCGCCCTCGCGAAGTCGGACCCGTGGCTGTCGGGGGGCGCCTCCGCAGAGCCCCCAAGTCCTACGGCCAGAGGGGCAGGGCCGGTCCGCTTCCTCAAGCGCCACTCGCGGGCCACGAAGAGGACTGAGAAAACGATGCCCACGGCGAGACCATGTGAGAAGCCAAGCGCCCAGATCCACGCCGAGCTGATCCCGTCGGGAGCCGCTGACAGGTGCCCCTCGCCTCTAGGACAGCAAGAAAGGGGTGGGCAGTGGAGCGCTGGCGAGCAAGTGCATGCGGAACAAGAATTGGCGGCCGACCGCACAATCACTGCTGTCTGGAAGGACCGAGATAGATCGGGCAGGCCGGCGGCGAAAGCTTTTGATTCCCCTGAAAAACTTAAGCGAAAGAACGGCGGCGGTACACGCAAAGCCCACAAACGCCTGCTGAAGAGCTTAATGACGGCGGGACTGACTGGCGATGAAGATTCAGATGAAAATCAAGATACACATGATGATGATGATGATGATGATGATGATGATGATGATGATGATGATGATGATGATGATGATGATGGTGATGATGATGATGCTGATGCTGTTGCTGATGCTGATGCTGATGCTGATGCTGATGTTGATGATGATGATGATGATGATGATGATGATGATGATGATGATGATGATGATGATGATGTAGTGAGTGCATATGTGTAAGGTGATGATGTTGGTGATGGTGATCGTGGTGGTGAGGATGCTAATTACGTGGGGGCGCGTGGAAAAAGTATGATGGTGATCCTTGTGATGATGCTGATTATGATGGTGATGGTGATGGTGATGGTGATGATGCTGATGCTGATGCTGATGCTGATGATGATGATGATGATGATGATGGTGATGGTGATGGTGAGGCTTATGATCCTTATGCTGCTGCTGATGATGATGAAGGTGGTGGTAATGGTGATGATGATGATGCTGCTGATGATGATTATTGTTATGTTGCGACCGTGTGAGCATGTGGGTATGCTATTGACGAGTGTCGGAAGAAGAAATGAGAGGGGCAGGGTTGAAATGCGCGGGTGTGCCCAAATTCGCCGGCCCAACGGGCCAGAGGCGTGCTAAGATCTCCGGTGACAGGTCAACAATATTTCTAATTCGCGATCGCGTGGCGGCCCCTGGGGACCCCTGGACGAAAGGCACCCGGGCGATGCCCGGGCGATGCCCAGGCGATGCCCGGGCGATGACTCCCCCAGGGCGCTCCAGGAGCGCGCCAAGAGGGCGCCAGGACGCCCCCGTACACGCCCCAAGAGGCCCCGAGTCGCCGAAAGATCGCCTACCCCCTCCCCCTGGACCTGGAGGGGGCCTTCCGCGGGTGGTCAGAGGGTCCTTTTTCTATCCCTGGGAGGGCTAAAATTCGACACCCCTCAGGAGGATCGTCGCCCCCAGGGGGGGGACACTGAAAAATGCTCGCCCCATCTGCGACCGATCGCCCCCAAGATGGCCTCATCAGGCCCCCAAGACGCTCCAAGAGGCGACCCAGAGAGCCTTCGGACGTTCCCCAGAGGCTCAAAAGAGAGCCCAAGAGGCCCCAAAACGGCCTCCAAGAGGCCTCCCTATTGCCTTGGATACGACTACTCCTCCTACTACTACTACTACTACTACTCCTACTACTACTACTACTACTACTACTACTACTACTACTACTATTCCCACTACTACTACTACTACTACTACTACTACTACTACTACTACTACTACTACTACTGCTACTGCTACTGCTACTGCTACTGCTACTGCTACTGCTACTACTACTACTACTACTACTACTACTACTACCCTTACTGCTGCTGCTGCTGCTACTGCTGCTACGACTACTACTTCTACTACTACAACTACTACTTCTACTACCACTACCACTACTACTGCTGCTGCGACTACTACTACTACTACTACTACTACTACTACTACTACTACTACTACTACTACTACTACTACTACTACTACTGCTACTCCTACTATGAGGGGCCCGAACGACTCGCACCAGGACGAGGTGCCCGAACGACTCACACCACGAGGAGCCCGAACGACTCACACCAGGACGAGGGGCCCGAACGACTCACACCACGAAGAGCCCGAACGACTCACACCAGGAGGAGGGGCCCGAACGACTCACACCAGGACGAGGCGCCCGAACGACTCACACCACGAGGAGCCCGAACGACTCACACCAGGACGAGGGCCCCGAACGACTCACACCACGAGGAGCCCGAACGACTCACACCAGGAGGAGGGGCCCGAACGACTCACACCAGGACGAGGGGCCCGAACAACTCACACCACGAGAAGCCCGAACGACTCACACCAGGACGAAGAGCCCGAACGACTCAAACCACGAAGAGCCCGAACGACTCACACCAGGAAGAAGGGCCCGAACGACTCACACCAGGACGAGAGGCCCGAACGACTCAAACCACGAGGAGCCCGAACGGCTCACACCAGGACGAGGGGCCCGAACGACTCACACCACGAGGAGCCCGAACGACTCACACCAGGAAGAGGGGCCCGAAGGACTCACACAAGGACGATGGGGCCGAACGACTCACCCCACGAGGGGCCCCAACGACTCCCACCAGTCGTCGTCGTCGTCGTCGTCGTCGTCGTCGTCGTCGTCGTCGCCGCCGCCTTCGTCGTCGTCGTCGTCGTCGACGTCGTCGTCGTCGTCGTCGTCGTCGTCGTCGTCGCGGTTGTGGTCGTCGTCGTCGTCGCGGTCGATATCGTCGTCGTCGTCGGGTGCGTCGTCGTTGTTAGGATCATCGCTGTGGTCGTCGTCTCCGCTAAATCCCTCTTGCCTCCCACCGCTTTCTCTCCCTCCTCCTCCGCCTCGTCCTTCTCCCGCTCCCACCACAAGGAGGATGTACAAGGAGGCGGGAGGAAGGAGGAACAGGGGAGATATGCGGGGGCAGGCGGAAACACGCCTGAAAAACACGACTGTCGGCATGCTTCGCAAGAGTTGCTGTTTTGAGATGGGCTGGTGGGGATACGCGAAGCGTGAAGAATTCCTCCTGCTACTTCCTTATCCTTGAGCGTCTCGGCATTATCTTCTACACATCGGCTTCTTTGGACCCCTGGTGTGTCCACAGACATCGTAACACTTCATGTGTGCATTGCGAACATAATGACGGAATCCTCAAAATGTTCAAAGTGCCGACCAGTGCTGATGGACCCGAACGGACTGCACCACTAAATGGTCCAATATGCAAGATACGTTACAATTGTACGTGCTACACAATATTCATATGAATAGCGCATGCCATATTTGACAGGACACGCTACTACACAACATTTAGATTGTGCAACGTGAGATGTGTGCAATCCATACGCCAATACAACACACCATCCACACACATAATCACGCAAACCAGAACGCATGCTTGTATGCGACCTTTGTCACGCGGTAACTGGCAAATGCAAAGCCGCAAACCTATGGACATGTACGGACAATTCCCCATGTTAGGAATAAAAGGTAAACATGTGCTCCTCCCGCGCATAGCCAATCAAAACATACAACCGACATGGGGGCGCACCATTCCCACAAATGGATCGTCCAACAACATTCGCCACAACATACGCAGCAAGCGGCTCGACTGCAACTACTCACCTGCTGCATCCGCCTTCTCATCTTCCTCGTTCTCAACATCGAGCTACAACTCTGCCCCACCCCGCCAAAGCCGGCCGGCTTGGAGATGACATCCTGAACGACCCCGCACGCACTGCTGGCTGTGCCACCGGCCAGCCTCGCGCGGCAACGAACAGACCACGGGATGTGAAGAACCGGAAGAGCGCGTTTCACGGGCGCTCGGGCGCGACGTACTTCTCGACAAGTGGAACACCGTTGCTCCCCCTCCCAACATTCCAAGCACCCAGCGAACTTGCCCTCTCCTCCCACACAGAGCCCCCCTGCGCCAGCAAACGACGACGACTGGCGCCAGGGAGGGGTTGCGCCCCCCACCATTTTCGGGGGGAGGCCCCAGTTGCGGGACGTCTGGGATGTTTTGGGAGGGGGGGGGCGGCGATTTGAACCCCCCTCCCCCCTCGAATGGAACACAGAACGCGCTCTTTCAAAAAACCAGGGACGAGACCGCACAAATTCCTGGCAACTCCTCTTCATCCTCCTGTTCGTTGTAATGGAACGTTGGGTGACCTCAGGGCATGGTTTAGCCGGCATCTATCACATTGAAACACCATCGATACAATAACAAAGTGCTACGTTTACTCTCTACTCTCTACCCTTCACTCCCGGCGCATAGCTCCCTGCCCTGTGGTCTCTACCCTTCGTTGTCCAATGTGTTCGTAACCTTGCTGCACCCAAAAACTGAAAGGCTGACCAAAACCAGGAACCCAGGAACCCGGAACCTCACCGTCTACCAGAATCGGCGGTGGACTTTCACCAATCTTCTCTGATCTGCATAACCCCCCTCAGTGCAAGCACTGACTGGGGAATCTTCCCACCACGTTTCGCTGCGCGAAGCCCCATGGTGTCCGAGCGTTGCTTCCAAAGACGGGTCGGCGCACCAAAATATAGTGCTTTAAATATTTCCGCGTAGCAAGAAGACGCAAACTACATAAGCATAAACATTCGGGGGTCTGCACGGATATCTTAGATCTGCGCTGAACTTCCCTCTTTGGCGGGCGGAGCGCGCCAGGGGCCGCGCTTGAAGTGCCGCCAGAGGGTGCCAGCGCCGACCTAAGAAAGCCGCGCGGAGCTCCGAACATTTATGCTATGCAGATCTCTCTTCTTCGAAGAACGGTCGTTACTTGGGGGGGCCATGATAGGGGGGGACTAGCATGGGCTTGGAAACCTCGAGCTGGAATCGGCGATGCATCGCCGATGGATCGGCGGTCGGCCCCCGATAGTGAAGCCGAACTCTCCTGGGCGGGCTGGGGCTCTCAGACCCCTTCTCGGCGATCAGCGGGCGATCGGAGATCGATGCATACCCTGATGGGCCTGATTTCCACCACCACCACCGTAAGTTGGAGGGGGAGGGGGTTCTCCTCCTCCTCCTCCTCTTCCTCCTCCTCCTCCTCCTCCTCATCCTCCACCTCCTTTCCCCCGTCCAACGCATGGTGGTGGTGGTGGAAAACAGGCTCATCATACCCTGCCCATCCCCCCGACCGTGGCCCCTGCCAACCAGGGACGCGCTTGGGGCGCCGAGCAGCGGTCACGCTCGGGCGGGGTGGAGCCCCTGCGCAGCGCCTGCGAGCACGCGCAGAGGAGCGCCTGCGAGCACGGGACGGGGCGCCCGCGAGCACCGGCGGCCCACCTCGCTCCAAGACGTGAGATCGTTACCGTCACCCCGGGGGAACAAGGGGGGGGGGAGTTGGGAGGCAACTGCTGGGAGGTTTTCGCCGGAAAGGTTGAAGAGGATTAAGCCCCGGGTGGGAGCGACTACGCCGGAGTGGGCCTCGGATTAAGCGGGATTATGCGGGATCAAGCCGGACTTCGGAGGTGGTGCAAAATCAGAATTTGACCTCCCAGGAGTTTCATCCCAAGGGGAGGGGGGTGTGGCCCAGGTAACAAACGTTACGCGCCAAAGGAGAGAACACAGTCTCCAATGACGTCGCTGCAGGCTCAGGCCGCCGCACAACTGAGTGCCGACGAGGAAAGGGGGCGCGAAGACCAGCCCCGCGCCTGTGCATTCCGGCTGCTCCTCCTCCTCTTCCTCCTCCTCGGCCTCCTCCCAGCTTCTCTTGTCAGAGGGAACCCAACGTCAGAACCATGCCTCTTGCCCCCTGCCCGCCCAAGTGAGATCCGTGCAGGTCGCGCGGAAAGCCAAGCCATCATGAGCGAGCATCAGGGACAAACTGAGATGCAGAGAGATCATCACTTACATATTCCATAGGCGCAGCACAACAAACTCCGACACTACTATCAACACACACACACACACAAACACGTTCGTGGCGAGCCATGTGTCCGACGCGATTGGGGTGATGGCTCTCCTCCGACTGCTCGATACACGCACCCCTACCGGCCGACCTGGTCAGCATCCTCCTCCGCCGCCGCTGGCCCCGCTGCTGCTGCCGGCCTCGCAGCGGCGGTGACGGCCGCGCCACGAGCCCCGGGCACCCAGCCCCACCGAGCGGCCCCGTCCCGCCTCCGCCTCCTCTCGGCCGTCGTTTCGTCGTCTTCCTCCCCTCCCCTCCTGCATGGTGGCACGTTTTGCATCAGGGCAGCCCAGCTTCGCGTCCTCGCGAGAGCAGTGACTCTGCCCAGCCGCCGACGCAAAATGTCGGACGCGGCAAACGCAGTTGAGTCTGGCAATTCCATAACCTACTGGACAACATAACCTATCCTAATGGCTCAACGAGATCGGGAAAAAACAAATGCGGCACGTGAGAACGGATGGTGCGAGGGGGCGTCCTTCTGGAAGTCATGGGGCTTCTTGCGAGGCTTCTTCGAAAGGACCTCTGATCGCCACCTTCTTCTTAGAGGCCTCTCAGGAAACTCCATGGAGGGCTTCGAAGAGGCGGCGGGGGGCCTTCTTACAGGCCGCCGTCCTTGCACCGTCCCAATTGGGGGCGGCACTGGCCGATGGAAAGCATTCTGGAAAATTATCGCGCTCACGAAAGCTTGGGCGCGATCGCGCCGCCCTTGCGGCTACCGTAGAATTTATAACTGCTCTACGGCCATCAGCTATTCAGCCACACCCTGAGATCTCGGAGACTCGACAAAATGATGTGGGCATATCCGCCACCGCGCTGCAGGCGCCACCAGTGGAGCTGAGGCGCCAAGTGTTCTTAATGTTCGCGCAAGCAACTGCTCATCGACGGCCCTGGGCTTTGGGGTCACTAAAAACGGTGCGGTGACAGACCGTGCCATGACCTGCAAATCCCCAGAGATCGCAGCGCAAGGTCCGTCACCACACAGTTCTGGGACCCTCGAGGCCCCGATTGCCCGAGGCGTCCTCGGAACGACCCAAATCCCAACCAGAACCACGCTCGCGCTTCGCGCGCGCTGAGGTTCCAGCGACTCCAGTGGTAGTCTTAAGTGTTCGGCATCGGAGGATATATATTGTCACAAGGATCGTGCACCTCAGGGAGTTCCACCTGAGCCCCTCAGACAAGCTTGGCTGAGGGTCCCCCCGCCCATGCCGGCACATCCCTCGCAGGCATAGCGTCCCACAGGGAGACCCACTTAATTACGTCACCAGAGACGAGGTTCGCACAGTGGCACACCCCTCACGCGGACCGTGCCCCGCGAGTAAGCACTTGCGGCACAAGAGAGGAGCTTCATAACATCGCCCCGCTCATTTCGGCATACTTCTCACAAGTATCGGGGCCCGCCAGGACATCCACGGACGGCCTCAAAGACAAGGTTCGCATCCTGCCATCCCGCCTACTTCGGCACACCTCGCACACGGATCGTGGCCATGGCTCACAGGGATCTCAACCCACGGCCCCAGAGGCAGGGTTCGCACTGCGCCCCTCCCCCCGGCCATTGCGGCACACCCCATCACGTGGATCGTGCCCACAAGGAACACCACCTAAAGGCCCGGAAGGTTCGTACAACGCCCCCTCCCCCGCCCATGTTGGCACACCTGTCACGCGAATCATGCCCCGGAATAAACATATTTGCATGGCGTCTCCGCGCCCATTTCGGAACATGCCCGGCACGGGGCGTGCCAAGAGGAGGTCCACCTGCGGCCTCATAGGGCGTGGTCGCGCGGCCCTTCACGCGGATCGTGCCCCACAAGGAGATCAGCGCACCCGTGCACGCGTGCCCCGCGGGAGCCATCTTTCCGCATTGCCCCAGCCTTGTTGGCTGTCTTAGAGCGTTCCTGGCCCGTCGGACGCCACTGAAAGTCGTCTTTGAGACCTGTCTTCGCCGTCTTCGAGACCGCTTGGAGCGCTTCGGGGCTGTCCTGGAGGCAATATCAGGCGTCTTGAGTCCTCTTCGGCCGTCTTGGGACCCTCCTGGGGCCGTCTTTGGAGCTTATTGGGCCGTCACGGGGCTATCGTGGAGGTCTCTTGGGCGCTCTGTGGGCGATCTTGGGAGACTCTTAGGCCATCTGGACCGTCGCCAGGCCTTAAAACAAAAAATCGAAAAATCCTTTCAAAGCCAGGGGGAATTGATAATGTTAGCTTCTTCGGGCTTTCCCCATGGATGTCTTGGAGGAGTCTTGGCCGCCTCGGAGGCTATCTGGAATATCTGGACTCCGTATTGGGCCGTGTGGGGTGCATCTCGGGGCCATCGTGGGCTCTCCAATTGGAGGAAAGGTCTACGTGCACATTACAATCGCAACGTGGCGAAAGAACAGAGGTACACGACCACCTGACCTCCGAGAATCATGAACACGACCGCTGTGGCGGAACTGCTGCGAAGGGTTCCAGGCTCCACCGCGTCGGGCATCCATGAAATCCGCCGACCCCTTGTGGGTCTCCAGGCGTGCGAGATTCGATCCCCCTCCCTCATATCCCCCCAGGGACCCCAAACCAGATGCTTCAGGACGCTTCACAAAGCCCCCCACGAGCCTCCCAAGATGGCCCCGAACACTAACACTCGTCCAATTCCTATGGGAAAACAATATACACGACTCTTCGGCTTCCGCGGCGTTGAAAACGGCGCCTCTGGCGCCCAAGACCGACCCAAGAGGCCCCCGGGAAAGGCCTCAGACGGCCCACCAGGGCCCCCAAACGGCCCCAGAGGCGCTCAAGACAACCCATGAGAGCCCGAAGACGGCCCTGAGAAGGGCCCAGGAGCGGGAGACAGGACCGACAATTCGAGTTCACCGCCACAAGATGCACCCATGAGCCCTCCAGACGCCCCAACAAGCCCCCAACAGGCCCCCAAGAGGCCCCAAAGAAGCGCCACAAGGGCCCAGCACACGCCCGACGAGGCTTTTCAACTGCTTCCACGAGGCCCACGGCACGAAACAATGTTCGGAAAGTGGCGGGGGGAAAAGCCCCATGGAGCGGTCCTCGGGAAGAGGTCGGGCAAAGACCCGCAAAAACTCCCCTGAAGGCTCAGACCCACTCCCAGACACGCTGGCGGGGCAGCCCGACAGTCGTCCGATATTTCACGGAAGGGGAGGCTGCAGCGTACCTTGTCCTCCTCCTCCTCCTCCTTCTCCTCCTCCTCCTCCTGTTCCTCCCTCTCATCCGTCCCCCTCCTCCTCCTCCTCCTCTCCCCTCCTCCCCTCCTCCTCCTCCTCCCCCTCCCCCTCCTCCTCCTCCTCCTCCTCCTCCTCCTCCTCCTCCCCTCCTCCTCCCCTCCTCCTCCTCCTCCTCCTCCTCCTCCTCCTCCTCCTCCTCCACCCCTCCTCCTCCTCCTCCTCCTCCTCCTCCTACTCCTCCTCCTCCTCCTCCTCCTCCTCCTCCTCCTCCTCCTCTCCTCCTCCTCCTCCTCCTCCTCCTCCTCCTCCTCCTCCTCCTCCTCCTCCTCCTCCTCCTCCTCCTCCTCTCCTCCTCCCCTCCCCCTCCTCCTCCTCCTCCTCCTCCTCCTGCTCCTCCCCCTCCTCGTCTTTCTCCCCCTCACCCCATAATCGTCGCCATCCCTCTCGCCATCTTTCGAAGTTCCCCTTCCGCGGACTTCGTTCCGTGTAGCGCCCCTGCAGAGCCCATCTCCGCCATGGTCACCCGAACGGGCATCATCTGCCCGACTTGCACTTCAGGGTGCCGATACTTTCGGCGCGCGCGACATGTTCGCCCCTCAAGGAGAACGCCGACTTCGGTAGTCCCTGTTGGCACGTGTCAGTGCGCTGATAGGACTACCCATAGCCCATCGCGCGCCGTGAAATCACGCCTCGTGCAACCCGCGCACATCACGCGCGTGTGCTTCGTCCATCGATGCTTGCTCACCTGTTATTCTTTGAGTGGTTCACATCCGAGAAATCTGCCCCGCACGCCGCGCAGGTCAGTTCACTCTCCCACCGTTTCGTCGCGTTGACTACTCCCTTCGCGGTTACGCCCCGCTCGTGACATTTTCCGCATACCGTTCTTGAAGTATTCCTCTTCCAGCGATGGTCCTCCACTTGGCAACGGCTCAAATGACCAACCTCACATAAAGACACCCCGCATCTAGGCGCGCAGAACGTCAGCGGTTCCGCTGCCGCCTCTGCTTCCCGTTTGCGATTGTTCGAATCGCGCATTATATTTTCGCCGCGCTCCTCCGCGAATTTCTGGCAAAACCTCTCCCCCCGCAGCGCGGTGTTATTTTCTGTGTTTCCGACATGCCCGCTGCCTCTTCAGGAAGAGCCGGGCACATGTCGAAAAGGCGTGCTACTGAAGCGCGAGTCCTGGAAGAGTTGCTAAAACGTCTCAAACGACAACGCGATTCCCAAGTCAATCCGCCGACCCCTTGTGCGTCTTCTATACGCGTGTGCGACTGTTCCCCCTTCACAATCCCACCCCAGGGACACCCAAACCGGGAATCTGACCCCCCCCCGACCGCAGACGACCCCCGGGTGAACGCGTCATGGGGGCGCAAAGGACTCCGCCACAGGCCAAACAGGCATCCAGAGGCCCCCAAGACGGTCCACGAGGGCCCCGGGTCGCAAAAAACACATTTCAAGACAGCCGCGGTGACATCCAGACGGCCCAAGATGCCTCCAACACGCCCCAAGATGCCTCCAACAGGCACCCCGAAAAGCCCCGACGACGCAACAATTGCCACACTACCGTTGGAAAACGCATGTGTTTTACATGTTCGTTCTTGGGCCCAAGAGCCCCCCACGAGAGCTCCACAACGGCCCGCAAAGGCCCCGAGACGGCCAAACAAAACAACAACACGGCCCATGGAGGCCCCAAGAGAGGCGCCAAGAATTGGCCCACAGGGGAAACCCGAACAGTTATTTCCAGCTTGCGGCTCCAGGACGCCTCCAGGTTGCCCCAAGAAACCCCCAACAAGGCACCAAACAGCACCAGTGGAACCCGAAGAAATTCACAACGCCCCCAAGAGCCTCCCAAGACGCTCCCATGAAACCCAACATCTGCCTCCAAAGTGTTCCCGAAAGACCCCCGACGAGGCCCGATCAACAACCCGAATAAATAAACCTCGTACCCACATGCCACGCATATGAGGTGATACGCCGCACGCCATCCGATGATCATGCGAGCACAGAGAACACTTCGAATG